ACTGTCATGGCTGAGATACATGAAGGTATTTGTGGTGCTCATCAATCTGGTGTTAAGATGATGTGGTTTCTTTGAAGGCATTCTTATTATTGTCTTCCAGGTAGTGAATGAGATCAAGTGGTACGTAAGGATATACCACTAAACTGTGAGAAGAAGGAAGAACCAAAATGGGATCATCGAATTCAACAAATCTATGATGAATTCGTTCCCTTGTCTAAGGATGAGACGGTTTTGGTCAGGTATCCCAACCAGTAGCTTTTATAGAGGAGGAAACAACCTCATCCCAAGTAGAGACCTTTGGAACAGATGAAGAGCCTTTGAGGTCCATATAAGCAAGTTTTTGTTCTAAAGGTGTGTACTCTGCGAAAGCCTCCATGACTTGAATAAATGGAAGAGGGTAAGTGTGGCTAATAAATGCATGAGAGTTTTTTCGAGGATGGCCATTATTGTCCAATGCCTCTTCATATGCTTGACCAATGAAGGAGAAGGGTTGGTTAGCCATAGAGAAGGTATCAGTCTCTTCGTTTGTTCAATTAGTGTAAGCAAGTTCTAAAGACAGGGGAAGTTTAATGTTTTGGTTTATGAACGTTGCTTGAAGACGGTTATAATTAATTACCATGCACGTCCTAGAACGTGGGCAATATGCCGTAAGAAAAGTGTAGTGCATCGATCCACTAATACTTATGCTAGTGTAGGGGGTAATGTTGGCCATATATTTTGTATTAGCCAGCCACAGCCTGATACATGGTCCATTAGGGGTAGTTTGAGAAATTAGTGAAGGTCTCCAGTCGTAAGAGGAGTACACGTGGCAAATTATATCAATGGCAATGGATATGGGAAGTACTGGAACAATCAAGATGAGCAAGGTGACATGGCCAAACGGTTGTTGAAAGTTTAAATTCAAATTCAGGAGGGAAGCCCAACTACAATAGTGACTAAGTGGAGGCAAACTACTTAGAGCCATGTCTAATGATTGTACAGGTTACTTCGATGACTACCACCAAAGCATATAAATAGAGGAGAAAGCCGATAGTAAAAGGACCCAGAACCAAATACAGAAACTAGTATATTCTACTTTACATCTTTTTCAGTTCTTTACTTTCTACTTTCCAGTTCTTTACCTTCCAGTCCTTTACTTTCTCGCACTGCATTTCAATTTCTTAGGAGTAATTCTAAGTTAGTCTGTTCATTGTTGTAATCCCTTTCGAAGTTGTGGAAGTGCGAAGATACAATTATAAACACTTGTTTACTTACTGAAATTTATTTTCTGACATTGTTCTCTCCCTTCTTCTTTACTATTGTGATTAGTTCTTTTGAATTTTCTCCTAAAACAAGCTACCAGTAAAAGTCCTCTTTATTGATGTTATAAGAACTTCGAAACAATCATCTGGTTAATTGGTTGGCATTTATTATTTATGTAAGGATTTGTTAATCCTTGCTGGCACGCTCTAATTACATCCAACACATATGATTATTATCAAAATATTAAACTTTAATATAATATAAAAAAAGAAAAAAAGAAGACATTTAAAAAAAAAAATTTAAAAATCGCAATTTACATATATAGATAATTGTAAATATATTAAGGAAAATGGGGTTTCTAAACCCCAAGCCTTGTGGGAGCTTCAATCTCTCAATCTTAATTTTCTAAATTTTTTATTTAAAAAAAAAAAACCTCAACATTTATTGATTTGGTCAAAATCTCCTGATCAGCATTTATTAACTTTTTTCAATCCATATGCCTGCATTTATTGATTTGGTCAAAATTTCTGATTAGCATTTAAAATCCCCTCATATAAATAATTATAGATATAGTCTGTTCATAGTTACTGCAGTAGTCTTTTTAATTTCTTCTGTACATTATGGTTAGTGATAAGATTATTAAATTATTTTTATAAAAAATCTTAAAAAACATAATTTATATATTAAAAACAAATATAAATATCTATAATTATCCCGTGCATAGCACGGGTGATAGGCTAGTTCATTCTTATGGGAATGGGGATGAAAAACAAGAGATACTTTTTTGCAAAATATGGACAAATGGAAGTTTTAACTCCTAAAGAAGCATTTCGTGAAGCTTCTCGAAATTAATTGATTTATATATTCCCTTTTCCCATACAGAAGAAGAAAACTTCCATTTAGACGACAATCAACCCAAGGTTACTTTGCCTATTTTTACTTTTCATGATAAATTGGCTTTAAAAAAAATTAAAAATTAAAAATAAATAAATAGCATCAAAATATATTTTTATTGACTAATGAGACTTGCCTCCAGAATCTATAATTGCCTCAAAAGATCCAATATATATACATTATTGGATCTTTTGAATCACACCCAAGAAGATCTTATGAAAAATGAATACTTTTGCATGGAAAATGTAAACCAGATATTGGGCATTCTCGAAAAGCATTTTGCAATAGATTTACTGAAAATAAGTTTTAAATTTGTTAGATTTTTTTATTGCATCTTTTTTTTCACAGAGAGAGAGAGAGGGGGGAAAAAAAGAAGAAGAAGAAGATAAAAATACAGTCACTCACTGCAAAGAGTTAGTGATCATTTGGGCTTTATATAACTGTTTTGTTAAATAAATAGGTTAAAATAATTTAGATAGATATGTTCAAAAAAAAATCCAATAGATAAAATAAAAATTTAAACAAATAGGTTAAATTCAAAAAAAAATCCAATAGATAAAATAAAAATTTAAACAAATAGGTTAAAATGTTGAAAAAATTGAACAGATAAAATAAAATTTTGAACAAATAGTTCTAAAAATTGAACAAATAAAGTAAAATTTTGAACAGATAGGTTAAAATAATTTGGATTGATAGGTTCAAAAAATCGAACCGATAAAATAAAAATTTAAACAGATAGGTGGTATTTATGAAACTAAAATTTCTTAAACCCATACCACATGGACTTTTCACCAACAAATGTCATTATGCCCCTAAATAGAACATATTGTCCGTAATAACTTACCAAGGTACGAATATAGATTTATGAAGAATTTTCTTTTTTATTATTAAATACTTTACACCATAAACAATTTACTTGTATCACAAAATAATTAATAAAATAGTTATAGTTGTTTAAGATTGCATTTATTAAAAAAAAAAAAAAAATTAGTTGTTTAAGATCACATCAAACGAGATCAAATGCTGGAAAGAGAATCACACCGAACCCATAATATATTTTTACTTTATCTTCTTATTAATTTAAACAAAATTAAATTACTGAAGAAACTTTTAATCTGAAGAAAATTGAATAATAAATTTTTTTTATTTTATTTTTTGAATGAGTCTCTTTTTTCTTCTTCCTTGGGCATACCACCATCATGGCGCAGAAAGCTTTTTCAGCCAACCTGTGTGAACTGCATTGCATTATATATGAACATTCTTGTTGGGGCTTTTCTTTTTTCAATAGATAAATTACACTTATCTCTTCTCCGATTTAGATGAAACATAACAAGTCTTACATTGGACTCTTTAATTCATATAACACTTAATTCAATTTTTATTAAAAATTTATTAATCATATGAATGAAAAAATGATATTACTATCTCTTTATATTAAAATATATATTTTATCTAATTTGTCTTCGTGTCTTTACAATCTTTGCATTAGTTTCAATCCGTTTGACTATGAAAAGATCAATATAATTATGTTAAAACTGTAGGTCAGTAGTTGGTGAAAATCTAAGGGCGGCCAACTTCGAAACATAAAACATGTGCCTCACAATTCCATAGAGAGAGACAGAGAGAGAGAGAGAGAGAGATTTATGGTGATGATGGGGACCAATTGAATTGAACTTGTGAGTATTTAGATAGATTACGATCTATGAAGAAGTTAGGTGAAGCTGGTGGTGTGAGAAAGAGGAGAGTACGGGTAAGAAGTTACAAATTTAATATGGAAACATGAAATTTACCAACCAAAAAAAATCTATATTCATTGTATACAAATATAATATTCTGTGCACCACACTAAAAAAAAATATATGAATGAACAAATCAATGCACAAGACTCCCATTAATACAACAATATCTACACATATTTACTCTATTTTTAGAGAGGTTGTTTCCCTTACTCTTCACTACAATAAAGTTCTTATCCTTGTATAGTAGAAGGTTTGAAATTGAAATAGACACAAAGTTGTGGCAACAGCTACTCCAAGATGATAATTGTTCTTGTCACCAACTCAGTAATGGCCCTGTTTGGTAGAACTGTGAAAAAGTATTTATAATTTATGCCTTAACAGCTTATAACTTATAACTATAAACATAAGCTGATTTCTGACTTATAAATTAAGTTTCTCCGGCCCCACTCAAAGAATAAGTTGATTTCTGACTTACAAAAAGCTATAAACTGTATTGTTAAGCTAAACCAAACACATCAAAATAGCTTAAATTAAGCTAAAAACTGAAATAAGCTGACAAAAAGATGTACCAAACAGGGCCAATATCATTTATGATTGCAAGAAATGATTGCAAGTACTTCTTGGACCAACTAGAACACCCTCAAATTAGCTATACCCTGAGGGAAGCGATCAAATGTGCAGAAATCCTCGCAAACAAAGGGAGCAACAACATGGAGAAGGGCTTCCAAATGTTCTTTTATGTATTAACAAACAGCTTCTAGATGATGCTAGTTAGGTAAAATACCCTACTATATGCTACCTTTTAATTTTCAACAAATCCCTTTTTAATCACAAATAATAATGATATTCGGGGTGTGGCATGTTTCTCTCTGTGTGCGCTCGCAAAAGGTAATAAGGGAATACGATAATCTGCCCATATTCTTAGTGACTACCACATCTTAATAAGTAATGCAAATATACCTTTGGTTGTCATTTTCTCTAATCCCAGCTAATAATGCTTACCAAATCCAGGCAGTTATGCATCTCCATTCTCTACCCTTTGTTTTTTTTACTGATTTAAACCAATTCCAGTTACAGCGCATTCAACCTCAAGATCCAATCATCACTCAAACCACACAAGAGAAATGAGACAATTCAAACTGAAAATCAAAACTTAAGATGTCAGAAAAATGTCCCCAAAACAAGCAGATGCCACACAATCTGTGGACCCAGAAAGACCGCATTTTCTTGCGTCATTATATCCAGTTGACAAATGCTTGTCTATAATAAGTACCTTCTATCAGTTAATTTGAGTCATATTACTTCTTTCCTTTAATAGATTATCAATAATCTAAGATAAAAAATATATAAATAAAACAACTATCCACCTCTCTTTATCCAAAATCCATGTAGGCCTTTGCAAAATACTGGCCCATTAAAACTAAATTCTCTACTTGCTCTCTGTAACAGGGAGGTAAACGCCTTCAGCTGCCAGCCAAACATTATCAGCACGCTTTTCTCGGACACCACAAACCTATGAAAAAATAATTAATGAAAAAATAATAATTAATAATTATATCAGTCATTACTGCTACCATCTTACGCTGTATTTCTGCAATTTTATTTTAAATTATTAAAATTCATAAAGAGTGTGAAAGAGAAGAAAGTGAATTTATAGTAAAAATTGTATCAATCTATAACCATAGTAAGAAAAAGACCTAGTCACCTGCAGCATAACTGATAACATTATATAAAACTTGGTGTGAAGCTAACATAATTTGCAATTTATATTATAAGATTGCAGGTCCCCCATACCTCCTGCTGTCCCCCAGCAATTCGGCTATACTTCTTGTCATGACTGTGCAGATACCCGCCAGTGTCAACATGTTGAAGCCGAATCCTCTGATCTTGTTTCCAAGTCTTTCCACTCCCTTCAATCAAAAGGCTAAAAAAAATGGTCCATAAGAATTACCAGCCATAGAGATGACAAGGTAAGTAATAATTGATATGAAACTTCCTATTTATGTCTCACCTCCAATAATCCCCCGTGTCAGATTCAGTGTTTCCTCCAAAACAGCTTACCTAGACACAACACCGAAAGAGTTTTTATGGATCCAGTAAATTTGCAGCTTTAATAGCGTTATTAAACCACAATGTAAGTTAGTTTCATGGTCATGTCAGAAGCTGGATATGTAGATGGGTGGTGAATTGCTGCTTAGTACATTGTCAACAACGTGTTTATGGGCATACAAATCATGTTCAGAAAAGGGGGAATACTGTCTCCAAGATGAAGAAAAACCTTTTATGCATTAATCTAAATGAAATCATCCACACTCCACTTTCAACCAATTTATTTTTGTATAGTAATTATCATGATATTCAATTTCCAAAAAATTGCCCAGAACTATTTCCAACCTAAAAAGGATGTTTATAGAATACTATATATTTTCAATCAGATCCTCTCCCCTCAGTCTACCCAGCCCTTGAATCCTATTTGTGCTTTTCAATCTACACTGGAAACCAACAATACTAAAGGGATACCAATGGAAGAGACTAAGAGAGGTGGGAGTGTGGCTGAAATCTAATGCATTCTAGGAGACCTCACTTTTTATTGTTGAAAATATTATGGGAATTTCTATGGCAATCAACACATCAAACAATATTTAGACATACATATAGGAATTGAGAAAAGTTCAGAAAATTTAATTGAATCAAGCACACAAGAAATGGCCCTCTCCTTAGAGATGATAACCTCCCTTCAGTGCTAGATTACCAGCATTCATCTCCCTTGATAAAGAAGTCCTGCACGGAGCTAAGACATTTCCATGACCACATACTGCTTATGTGCTTAAAATAATTAGCAGCAGCAGAGGAAGAGATACAAGAGAGGTTCTATTGATCTTTTTTATTCTGTAACCATATTAGACTTTTGTACTTCATATATATTATATTTCTAGTAAAATCAATCCATCAGCATAAGGATAATGGTTATTACATTGGGCTAGGCGAAGCATCTAAAATTCCTCCCAATTTCCAACAGCTCATTAAAGAAACAGATTAAGATATATTGTAATGAATGTTAAACCCCAAGGAGTGTGGATTTCAATCATGCAATCACAGAGTGGGGCACTCTTCTCTCTATTTCTTTCTTATTTCCATTGTGTTTGGTAAATAACTACTGGTCCCGACAAAATCTTTTAGTCAAAAAACCTGAACCTGGATCATGAAGATTGAAATCCATCATTTTAAGAACCACAGCCCTTATTTCATTATTTTGATCCCTTAAGGCACCACATCTCCATTGCAGTATAGCCATAGAAACTAAAGCAACTATGCTCTCTGGAATCAGTTATAATTATCCAATAGTCCACAAGGTAATAGGAAAAACACTCAGAAATAAATTTTGGTGGGTGGCCTAGGAAGGTGTTACTAGAGTTTTGTCTTATATCAAAAAATCTTAATGTGTGCACACACACACACACACACACACACACACACACACACGAACAGACTCATACATGTCCCCAAAAAAAAACACAAAAAAGGAACTATATTGTGCAATAACAAAACAAATTTGAAAACTAATGAACTTACAAAATATGAATAGTTCTTAGTGAGAATGTCGAGATTGATATGAATGGAAGAAAGGACAGACTTGGAAATACATATATTCAGTGAAGGTATAGCCTATAGTCACCCATTGAAGCCAGCTAAAATGTGCATAGGTATTTATCACCATGGCTTTTGTTTTTAACCAAAAGACAAACTAAACCATGCATATAGTCAGTTATGACTTAGTGAAAGTTCATATTAATAGATAGACTCCACATGATCTAGCCAATCAAAAACTTAAGCATCTTAGCACGTTGGTAAAAAAATAACAAAACCGGAAAAAGGAAAAGAATACAAGCATCATCACAAGCTCCTGATCCAAGACATTAACTAGCTACTCAACAGATCCCACAAATCATAGCCAGCAATTATGCTATGGCTTATAGGCCCTACACACTAGCGACCACGCAAGTTCCTTTATTTTCCCCTACACTAATATAAATGAGAGAACCCTGCAATCCAAATACCATGTCAAATGGAAACTGGTGGGCGTTATACAAGCCTTCAATGATGTGTTGAATTGGAAACCTATGCTTCACAAAGCATCACATGGGCCTCTTCCTATAACCCATACAGTTCAAGATCATTTCTAACTTTTTGTTGTATGAAGTGACAGTGAACATAGAGGAAGAAAAAGAAAAAAAAAACCTCTAGGTTGCCTGATATTGGAGATGCATAGAGATGACTGTGCAGCCATCTTTGGGTCCTCATGTGTTGCAACCTGATAATTGTCCCACTTTTGATCACATCCCCTTGTTTGGCAGATGTCTCAGGCTGAGGTCTAACAATCTGCAAAATGCAATCATTTTGAATCAAAGTCAAAACAACTCCCGATTGTTTAATTTAACCAATCTACAAACGTATAAGACTCAAAGTTTCATATGTGGAATACATAAGAAAAAAACAAACAGGGTAAATTACACTCTATTACCTTGCACTTTATCTCAAATTTCACTTTTGATCCTTCCACTTTTAATTGTGACAGTCAAAACCCCACAATCTGGTCAAGTTTCAAGGTCAACCTCTATCAGTTTTCATACAGAAGATGAACCAAAATTGACCATGTGATTGTTATGTTACTCAACAATTGGTTTATCCAATCAAAACTCAGGTACAAAAGTGAATTTTGAGAAAAAATTAAGATGGCTAAAGGGTTACCAAATTAGGTCATGTAAAATCCAAGTGTCTAATTCCTGTCAAATATAAAGGCAATGATTGGAGGAGGGCTAATGCTATAGCTTAACATCCCAATTCGAAGTATAGAGCACAAAATGAGTTCTGAGGTAAAAAGTGCAAAGTGTAATTTACCCAAACAAATGAGAAAGAGATATAGAGAGTACCCAGTAGCTATTTGAATCATCAACAACTGGAAAACCTGTAACCGACTGCTGCCCGCTTCCAGATCCATATGGAACCTCATGTGAATGCAGCCGGACCTTTGTCTTCTCATGCATCAACTTAAGTACTGTACCATATGTAATCTACCAAAAGAATGTAGAATCTACAGTAAGCTTTTTAAAATTTCTAGATCTCTTAAATCTATTTAACCTCATTTAGCTTCCAAGAGAACTGGTGGAAAAAAAGATCAAAGCAAAACTACACCTTCATGCATAAACACCAAATTCAGAAGTTCAGTGATCTCAAAACCTCAATTTTTTTCTTTTTTTTTCTTTCTCGCATTTTATCAATACCTCCGTTTCAATTTTCTTAGAAAAGAAACAAAATCTAAAATTCTACTCCTCTTTTTTTCCGAATCCAGTCTATACGAAGAACCAACAGAACTTCGCAAGCAAACAAACCACGCAATTCACACCTTTGATTTATCATATCTTCCAACATTTTCTCAGCAACTAAACAGAGTATATAACACACATACATATCAATATATATATATATATATAGATAGATAGATAGAGAGAGAGAGAGAGAGAGAGGAATTGGAACCTCAACGCCTTCGGAAGCAGCGGCAGAAGCAGAGGAATGAGAGGCAGAATTGAAGTCGAAGCCGAGAAAAATGAAGACGGCGAGAGCGAAACATGAGAGAGCCATTAGAAGAAGCAAGATGAAGAAGCAGTTCTGCTGATAAAATGGAAGGTTGAACCGTGAAGGACGTGAATGTTTACTAACAATGCGATTTGTTTCAGAATTTAGGGTTTGAGAATTGGAATTGGAATTGGAAGACGATGGTTTCCGACGAGAGAGGGAGTGTGGTGGCCCTGAGGGAGCCAGTTTTGGATCTGGTACGCTCTCCAGATCGGAGCTCCGAATTGGGTTTGGGATCTCTTTTTCTTTTTTGGTTCCTAGGGTTTGGATCTTGATGTTAACGGTTTTTGGACTTTGATAACTCCTCCTCCATATGAGAAATTATTATCTGCTATTGAATTATAATTTTATATATTTTTATTTGTAATGTTCATATGGATGGAAGTGAACAGTATAATATATTTTTATTGTTCCATTAACAACAAACAAGTGCCATAGATGGTGAAGTATCGACTTAAAAATTTGAATATTAAAAGGGTTAATACGTGTTATAAAATATTTTTAGTGATATTTTTTTTTTAATATTTTCAAACAAAAAAAATCCTAAATATAGTCAATCATAATTTCATAATATAAAAAATAACATGATCTATAGGGTTAATAGAAATTAGAAACACAACAATAAAATATAAAAGTTGGAACAAGAAAGACAAAATAAAACTAAAAATTATAAAACACATAGAAAGTCTTGAAATCTAGGTTTCGGTCTTGGCCGGCGAGGATTATGCAAAGAAGAGTTGAAGAACTTGAGTGGGGGCCTAGGTAAATTTCAGCCTTGTGCTTTATTTGGTATTTGTTAATGTTGATGGTGTTGTTCAAAATAATACTTCGATTCAACTGAATAATTTAAACAGAACAGATTATTTAATATGAACAGAATTTGCAGAATTTTTAATGTTGATGGTGGATGAATATGAACAAGAAAACAAAGGGACAGAGTTATCGGATGTCAAACTTCGAAAGCCCTATATCTAAATCGGCTTCAGTAGTAAAAACGCAAAGAAAATAAACGCAAAATTTGAGGAATTTTTTTATATATATTATATGCAAATCGCTCCGGTTTGCTTGACCCGATCACGAGTCAACCGATTAGCTGATTAAACCGCCAGTTCAAATGATTCTCACTAAATAGAATGATTTTTGTCTTTGAACGGTTCAAGGGAATTAATCGGACCAGAACATAAATCGGTCAACGGTTGAACTGGCAAGTCAGGTCCTGTTTTTAAAACTTTGATTGTGCCCTTAAAAAAGTGAAAATCATCATCCTTCTCAGGAATCGTTACTCCAATTAGTGTTACGTTTTTTCTACTGCTGCGATAAGTCCTGTTGGTATTGACAATACATGTAACGTCCCAAAATCTACCTTGGGTTCAAGTCTAAAAAATGTCACTAATGAATCATTTGATCAATAACCAAGTAAGATTCCAACAAAGACCAAAGGAGTCAAAATAGCCTCTTTTGTAAATCTAATCTCCTTAGATAGTAAAACTATATCTTTGATGGATCTTAACAAGATATTAATGCAATGTCTACATAAGTTGACATAAGATAAGGGATAGGTTTACACCAAAGATATGTAGGTATATATATATAAGCAAAATAATAATTACAAGAGATGTGTCTTAATTACAAATAAGAGTTTAACATTACAATCCCATAACATGTTTACAAAAGGGATTTAGCAAAACTAACTTTTAGGGTAACCATACATCTTCAAATTTATCAGCTTCATCTTTGATTAGATAATAGTCTTTAATACCTGACATGAAACGCCATAAGTTTGGAGTGTCCAGTAAACACATGCATACCCTGTTCATTTTTTTCAATCCAATACACAATCACAATTATAATAAACAATGAGGTATGATATTTAAATCAATAAATAAAGAGATCATAAAGTTAGGTGTTAGTAAACTAGAAATCTCCCAAAGAGATTTCATCCTCCCAACCACAAGAATTAGACTCGGATTATTCGATTTCCCTCTTTTGCTGCTTTGGAAACCTTACCCCATATGCCTACAACGATTATATACCGCATAATACCAACCGAGGACCTTAAAAGAGACTATAAAATAAAGGTCGACACCCAACACCTCCTCAACCTTATCACATCAATAACTACCTAGGATATGAATACAACAAATCCAATCAAGGGTTTTGAAACAATCACTTGCACAAGACTTAACCTTCAATTAGGGAACGCATCCTATCAATCCACACTTGAAGTTAACACAATATTGTCTCATAAATTTATTAAAGCGATCGAAAATCTAATACCCCTGTTAAGTTTCCCGTTGTGTCAAGTGTTTTAAGCCAAGATTAGAACAAGTTATTGAAATGATGATTACAACACAAGTATAGACATTTCAAGACAAAAATATAAAGATATACAACCAAAAACATACATAGATGACATACTAAAGCTTGAATAAACAATAAGAGGCACATCGAAACAACTAAGAGTATGAAACTTCAAAAATTTACCAATTTCTACATTTTATTTACTTTATAGATAACTATCAAAGTGGCATTTTTAGAATTTTTCTGAACACGGCCTCTTTAGGGTTTGTAGATAATTTTGTCTACTTTCAAAATCAATTTACGGAAGTGGGATAGAGTTTTTAGATTTTCAATTATTAATGAAATACTCCAACTTTGTCCATATTCTTCAATTGTTACGAAAATTGATTTTTCTTTCAAACTGTTCATTCATTTTTAATAAAACCAATTTTTCTTGGAAGTTTGATGGAAAATTTAGCACAAGAGGGTTTTATATATTTTTCTAGAATTTTTGAAAGTTTGCTGAAAATACCAAATATTTATGCACAAAACTTGAAATAAAAAGAGTTATAAGAAAAAGGGGGCAACCATGAGTAATTTTTCACTTCTCTTATGATGAAATATACTAAATAATATTTTAATAACTTAGATTTTTAGTTTAAAGGTGTGCGTTTAAAAACAATGTATGAAATGGATAGAAATTGGTGACTTTGTTTCAATAAAGAAGAATACAAGTAAGGTAACTAACAAAGCACAACTTCTCTTATTCAAACACAAGAACCCTATACATAAACATATTAAAACAATATTCCAAGCATATAATGTCATGTATTTAGTAGAGAAAAGAAAATGATAGGTTGTGTTGTGGCTTACTTTCTTTGCCTAGGATTGGTATTGTGCAAAACTTGCTGTCTTTTTCTTCCTTCTCCTCCCAAAAGCTCACTCTTGCTCTTCCTCTCTCCCTCTCTCTCTAACCGAATTTGTGTGTGTGTGTATGTATTTGAGTGTGTAAAAGTGTTGAGGGAGGTGGTCTATTTATAGAAAAATTGTGGTGAATTGTCTATAATGTCCTTTGTTGAATTGTAATGGAATGAATTTGGATTTAGTTTGAATGCAATGGAATGAAGGATGATTTAGATGGTTAATCATGGTTTAATTATGGCTTAAACCTCATTTGGTTGGAATGGAACTAGATTGCTAGGTTGGTACAAAACAAGTTTCCAAGTTTTTGGGATACTAAGCTCACTTTTTCCTTAAATTCAGGAATTATGCTTACAAAGCTACACAACAGTATATGCATATATCAACAATGATAGAGAGCTCTAATTTTAGCGTTCTAAAGAGAGCTATAATGATGTGGCAAGAAAAATAAAAATAAAAACATAGGCACACACATCACATCACGTGTGGGCCCCACTCCTTGCCACATCACTAGAGCTCCAAAATTAGAGCTCTCAATCTTTATTCATGCATATATATAGACCGACCATGTGCTCTAGGATTTGAGGGTTTCTCTCTCTTGTTTTCTTTTTTTTGGTGTGTGTGTACAAATTTATCTTAAAATAGTGTAGATATTTTGTAGGAAAAAATTATAATAATGGATTGTACTTATATATATATATATATATAAAGAATGATTTTGAGGCTAATGTACAATTTTTATAAAGTGTGAGGGCTTGGGCTCAATTTATGAATTAAAACATCTATTTTAGGTGTACAATTAATTAAAATAGTGTTAGAGAAAAGAATTCAATTTGAGTTACTTCGCTTTGAATTAAAAGGTGAATAACCGAACAAAAATGGTGAAAATTGGAAACTAGGATTTGAGTAATTAATCTATAATTAGAGAGTTAAATGATTAATATTAAAGTATTAGAAATGATTACTAAGCTACCGGTGTCGATTAGGATTTGTACAAATTCGTTTACGATGCGTTTTCGATTCTAGCGTTAAATTTGCGAATAAACGAGTGTAGACGCGCCCTCGGGGCCTCACTACAGTTCGGACTCAATTTGTGTCACGGTCCTGTATCTAATCTCGCGGAATGCAATGCAAGACCGATGAATCATCAAAGAGTCCAAATCCGGCATGTGATGCGCACAGCATACAAGTATAGACTGGATCGCCTGAATTGGAACAAAACATTTCATTTTGGTTTTGAAAAACAGTTTGCTACTCGCAAGTAGGCTAAAATGTGGATTTGCCACCCTCGGGTGGGCTTAGAAAACATAATGATTTCCCACTCTCAAGTGGGCTTAAAACTCATAATTGATGCATTGTTCCAATCCAAATAACCCAACCTTCACCCACAAGCATTCAGGCAGATATATCACATAAGTAAATAGCCTCATAGTAAGCATGCTATCATGGCAGTCACTCACACGCATGCAAGGATGCTAAAGCATAAAACTTACCGAGTACTCCAATCCACAACAGAAGCTGATTAGAAATCATGCATGAATCCTAACTATGCTGGAATGCCTAATGCAACACATGCAAAATGCAACTAAAATAGGCTCAGTTATTCTAATGATGGCATGTGAAATGCTACAACTAACAAGTATTCAACTTGGAATTAAAATACAATGCAGTTAGCATGATGCGCCGAGCCCGGTACATGCAAGACAGATGAATGAATGCAAACATGCTATCATGCTGTATGTTAATTGAAACATGTCCTAATCTAACCATCATAAGCTGGTAAATAAAAATGAGAAAGACGTGGGGTTGGAAGACATACATCACACACACGCACACTTATTACAACATTGCCCTCATTCGGAGGGTCCGAATAAATAATATACAGTCCGAATAAATAGTACAGTCCGAATAAATACAAAATCCTAATTAATTAACAAATTAATCTAGGAAAGCAGGTAAATAGCACGCAAATCCATGGACCGCCTCAGCTCTGTTCCGAATGATGAATGATGCATGCTTGAGTTGCCTTGCGTGAAAATCCATTGCAATGCCCGGGTTTGCCTCTGTTTACAATTGATGCCGGAATGGTGTGCAAGGCTTTAGAAAGCTGCAGATT